GTTCATATTTTGTATAAAAACATCACGTGGACGTAGTTTAACGTCCAATATGAATTGATTCTTACATACAACTTTCTCAACATACCAAACATATCTAAAACCTAGAGACATTAACATTAATTTTAAGTTTAATAAGCCAGTTGCCTTTGCATTTACTTCAGACAACATATACAAGGCTCTATAAATACAGTTCTCTGTTTCAAGTAATTTCAACCAATATTTAATTATTCTCATTTTCCGTATTATACCAAGTGGTAATCTACCAAGTTCAGAGTACAACATATTGTTTGGAGTACACCTTCTAACATTAAGTCAGAGCTTACAAAAATCTATGTGCACTTTCTCTACGTCAGGGGCAGCATAGTTTAATAAGAGCGTAGCACTCGGGCGCCTTCGACGAAGCTCTTTAATGGTAACACATGCGTGGGTATAGGGAGTTGCTTCCCCCTTTCTACACGTTGCCTTTATTGTTTTTGCGTCCGGAAGCAGACGTCTAGTGGGGAAACAGGAAGTGTATCCTTGAAGCAATGACAATTGTGCCTCAACCCATACATGAATATCTTCATATAGTGAAAACAATCTTCATGTTTTATTACTTGTTTATTTAGATAGAAAATAATAAACATTCTGAGGGAAAAAAGTTTATCACATAAAATGTGATACTAACAGGCAGGAAACTTCGTTCAGAGATTATCATACTATGACGTCACAAGCACGTCACGATCCATCGTGATGTCCGTTGCATTTATCTCTTTGTCGGTGCTTCAAGACTTTTTTTTTTATTTCAGTTTATTCCACAGGCACAAAAAGTAAAAATGCGGATATTTTCTGAAGATCTTTTATTTCTGCCGAGAGATATCTTCAAAAAAGAGATCATTTAATTTCTTTAGCTTTTGATTTCCATTTGTTGAGAATATGAACGAAATAATTGACATTTTTGAAAGTCTGGATATAGTCTTTACATTATTTATGCATCACCACTCATAAAAGAAGCAATGGAAAATGCATTTATGACGAAATTAACAATAATTTTCCAGACAACCAACCCAAGTGCAACACCCTATTTCAGCAACGTATTACTTTTTTTCACAACGCGTGCCGATTCATAACTAGTTACAGACAGAAACTGTAATTTTATTATGCATAATTACCTGTTAAACCTCGGTGACAGTTACAAAATTTGAAATTCAACCCGGTGTTTCAGGATGGAACAGTAATTGAGACTAACCATATCAAGACAATTTCAGTTACATCAAAGTATTACAATGTTTTCTTTTTTTTTCTTTTTTTTTTTAACTAACATATCTATACATTTATTTAGACTAATGGTCAAATATGTAATATGCATTTTTTTTATAATGATAACCAAACAGTTGTCCTCCCAGCTTATCTCAATTATTCTTTTTGTGCCCTGACGGAAGCACGCAGAGAGTTTAATTCTTAATATGGGAGGAAGCCGGAGTATCCGGAGAAAACCCGCGTTGTCGGGCAGGTAACCGGGATTGAATCCGGCCATCTTGGTGAAGACGAGGGCGCTATCCACTGCGCCACGTGCACCCGACCCATCATATACGTTACGCACAAGAACAAATATCTACTTTAGCTTTGAAAATGGTGTCATTGATGCGAAAATTATATTGTGAATATAGTTTTACCAATCATCAACGATACAAAATATCTACATACCGGGTGACCGGGGCAAGTTCGGTCACCCCTGATATCTTTGTGTTTGAGCTAATATTTACAACTTAAAGATCTTAGCAGTTTAGTTGGCTGGGCATTCACATGACAAAATGTCGAGGAAAACTCTAATGTAAAAATACTAAACAGGAGAAAATGACTTTTGAGAGGGTAGGAAGAAAATCAAGATCTCGCTTCCAGTTAAGCGAACTTTCTGTAAACGGAATTGCTATTTTTTACTGTCAAACGTGTAACACACTGACAGCTTCAAATGATATTCAGGTCCATAAAAACAAAGCCAAGCACTCGCTACCATATTGTTGTACGATAAGAATTTATTAAAATATCAATTTGGGCCCAAAAAGTTTCGGGCAATGATACGGTGGCAAGTTCGGCCACGTAACAAAAAAAAATTCGTAAAATTGGCGGTAAAATCTGACGTTGCATGTTTTAATAACGTTATAATTAAGCTGATCCCAATTGGGCCGAAATTACCCACATGCTTGTCCGAACTTATTCCATTGCGGGGCTCGTTCGGCCATCCGATCATCCGACAGGGAAAATTAAATAATGTTATTATCGAATCAAATACGGTCCTGTAAAAATAGGTTTCTTAATTAGCATCATTTGCTATAGACATTGTCCTCGTATCACCTAAGCTGTCACTGTGAAACAAATAAAATAATACTAGACTTTCAAATCGACTTTAGGTAACATAAATATAGATATAGTCCACATACCGCCATAGCAGTCACGATGACACAAATACGTTAACAAACGTCAACCTTGTTTTCCGCACGCTGGGTCATTATCCCGAAGTGTTAGTATTACGTTATCATCTGTGTCAATAACCTTTCGTTCTTAAGAAGCCACAAAATGACACATTGATCTGTGCATGGACTCGTAGTACTCAACATGATTTTGTAAACCACCAACTGTGTAACACAAAGACTTATACTAACTTCACTTTTAACTATCTTAGTCTTATCAGGATACACGGTAGTCCAGTGGTAGGACGCCGGGCTCGTGACCGAAGGGTTGCGGGTGCGCGCCACGGCACGGCAATGTGCTGTATCCTTGAGCAAGATACTTTACTCCGCTTGTTCCAGTCTACTCGGGTACGTGGTTGGGCAGTGCTAGAATTGTTGAATGTTGCAAAGGCCTTATAACCACGGATACTAATTTGTGAACCGCTTTCAGACGACCTACAAACTAGGTTGTGATAAAGCGGTATATAAGAACCTCCAATTATTATTATTAATTATCAGAAGTCCTTTCCATTAAATCCATAAATACTGAGTTTTACGCACATCCCATTATGGTTAAACACTAGTCTAAATACATTTGGATATCCAAATATTTGGCCCCTAGAATCGGCAGCGTAATTTATTTTTGGTCTACTGTATATATTATAGAATTTAACAGGAGCTACCACGTGTGAGTGTGTGCTATGTTCATTTCTTCATATCTCTTCATACCGCACCTGTGTAATTCGTAAAATCAATCCTAATACAAATAATACGATTATGACCTGAATTTTTCTGCTAAAGCTAGTACATTTGACCACGTGATAATCTCAGCATCATATGTCCTATAAGGAATGCAACTGTCTGACATGTGAAACAGTCGATTTGTCACCAGGCATATGTTACCAACTGCCATTGTCTCGGTAAGTTCAACAATCACGACGAATGCTTGTAAGCTTGTACACTTAATCGTTTTCTTATATGGATACCAAATAAAGTTATCAAAATAATCAAATGGTCAATATTTCTATATTTAATAATCTTTGTTTATCGGTCAGTGTTATTTAAATAATGCCTACAAATATGTTACTGTCATTTTATTGACCGGATCGCAACGCAATCAGGGCTTATATATTGTCGATTTAGGTTGGTCTGTCCGTCCGTCCGTCCGTCCGTCCGTGCGTCCGTCCGTCCGTCTGTCTGTCTGTATGTCTGTCCGTCCGTCTGTCTGCACTAAAGTTAACAAGAATCGTTAAGCTCAGTTTCCAAGTGATTTATTATCTCACATCAACTAAACGTGCATGGCTAATGTATCTAAGGATGCTTATCACATGGGATGCTTCAGATGCTGCTTCTGACCTACATTTTCCGCTTGACTGATCAGGTTCAGAAGTTTGGTGTAGGTCAGGCCCCATCTACACTGGCTAAGAAGATTTTGTTTAGGTCAATTACAAAGTAACTACTTGTCCTACATGAACTAAAGTTGCATGGCTTTTGTATATTAAGGAATGCTTATCACATGTGATGCTTTACCATTGGTGGTTTCTTAATTGTTTGTAATTTATTATAGCTTATGTCGTTTTGTTGGGACTTCGCGTGTGTATTCTGTATTGACGATTTGGACCTTTTTATCTTCCAATTTTCTTAAAGCATTGTCCTCCACCAAAGTCATAAGAGTTCAAACTAGAGTTTTCAACGGTTAGCCAGTTAACCGGTTTTTCGGTCAGAAAACTGCAAACCGGTTACCGAAATCAATAACAGAATAGTCGGACATTTATTTAACACCATGTTTACCTGGCTTAGACCTACAAACTATCTATCCATGAGACCCACATCAGAAAATTTAGTAATGAAAACAATGTTCAGACTGACCATTTAGTGTTGTGTTCAAAGACTGTCAAGGAGATGCCGACCACGAAATAAAAAGCCTGAACAGATTTTAAAAGTAAGCCAGATTGCGAAGTGGTGAAATGCCAACTTGCAAGAAAAAAATGTTTTTTAAGAGTACACAGTTGACTTATTTCAGTAAAACATCAAAAGAGGTGCACTCTTCAATGAATTAGTTTGTTTATCAAATTATTTTTCTCAAGAACAATATTACCGAATATGAGTTTGTGTAGGAATAACCTGTTTTGTATAACACTCTAGTCAGAACGAAGTGGTTTATAAACTGACTGAGGTTACATGTTTTAATTTTCCTGCGTTTAGGTGTTAAGGGCTTGAAATACGTGAGTAAACTATCGTGCTAATTAATGTATAATAATTGTAAATACATTTTGATTAGAACATTAACAAAGCGTACTATGTATATGTTGTTTATTGTTTGATTAACCGATACTCGATTCGAAGAATTTTCGAGTAACCGGTTATTAAAATTCGTCCGGTTTGACAACCCTAGTTCAAACATTTTTTCCCAGTAATATATTGTGTTTTGGCAATATTAGGAACTTGACACACAAACCACGAAAGATTAAGTCATATTGGTAGCATATTAAGTAACTCGCGATAACAAAATCTTATGGAATATTTAGTGTAAACAAGAATATTTTTTCATCCATTAAGCTCACCATCAAGTTCATTCAACAGTTATACTTTATTTACAATGCACAAAATAACACAAGTTAAATAGTATAACTATCATTTCTAAATACAAATCCAATAAAATTATGTATATCTTTTAAGGCTATAAAACGTCTCATAAAGAGCTGATATACTTCCATTAACACATTATATCACTACAAAATGATTCTTGTCACTCCCGACACTTTTGCCTCTTCTACATGTAATATGTACACATTAAACTTCAAATTGACCCTTTCGAAACTTCTCAGCAAAATAGTGATTTTTTTTTACTGTCTGACCTCTGCATTTTGTTTAAACATTTTTCTAAATTTGACCATAAGTAGACCTGCCAATTCCTCTTTCTGGACATTTCATGTTTGTACTACATGAACCTGAATATTACATGCGCAGTATCAAAATGAGATATCAATACCTTGCCAAGGGAGGTAATTATAATGAAATAATTATAGAGTTAAAGAATGTCAAAATAAAACAAAATCGTATGTGAATGCTAAATCAATTCAAATACAACAGACCGGCCACAAAAAACATATTGGGTGAATTCTTAAGACAGGGTATTGTTTCGTACGAAATTCAGGCCGTTTTCCTACGAAAAAAATGATGTCGAAGATTTGTTAACATGTTGCGAATTTCTCACGCCGTAGGCAATTCTCGAAATCAGGGCCTTTTCTTTGGCAGTTTGTGTGATGACCTATGGTACCATACGACAGACCAACGCATTACTTTACTACGCGGCTTCAAATCTATAGCCTCCAACTTGCAGTCCCTTTTGACATAGCCATGTTTAAACCACGCAACAAACATATCGTAAGTTGAATGTGTAAGATACTTAAGGTGTTAATAAAAGTACTACCTTAGTAAGTGTTTACAATTTCTAAGGAATATAGTTTTATTTTAGTGTAAATAAATCAAACAGTTTCGTGTGGATAATTAAGGTTGTCTTGAAGTAAGACTTTCCATACAATTATTTTGATACTATTTTTAGATGTCTAACAAAAATTTCCCAAGATGACTGAAGTTGAGTTGGTGTCTCAAAGGACGCTCTAGAAATCGACGCTAATTTGGTTCATATTTCTTATCTTAAATGATTAGAACAAGATTAAATGAGTTTTTAAAAGTTGATATTCTACTCTTGCATAAACTGCTCACAGAGTCTAAACTATGACGCCGCCGAAACCGTTTCCCTAGGACGGAAAAAACACTTGACGCCATCTTTTGCTTGTAATACTGCGTTGTCTGCAAGATCACAGCTTTGTCCGGTGACCAATTCGAAGTCGAAATTCTGCATGATCTTGGCAATCGTTATCTTTATTTGTATCTGTTAAATAAAGGTTAAACCAAACAATACAAAATTGATAGAGAATAGATAAATTTAAACAATGAAATTAATTAATTTCTCGAAAATGCAACCATTCGTATATTGGATATTTTCCTATAAAAACGCCCACTATAACGCTTTGTTGAATATCGGTGTTGGACACTGTCCGTTGCTAAGTTGAAACCTCGCAGGTAATCTCGCTTACTGTATATCTATCGAAGTGGATACTTGATATATCCGCCGCGATATATGACACATAGCATCGACGTGTCTGGGTAGATCTACTTGTTTTGCAGTGTCATAACAGGTGATAGTAGGATGTACTCGGCGTAGGCAGCCTATCTACACAGAGATGATACCCATGTAAGATTTGCCTAGGAGGTAGTTGCAATGTAGCAGCTACACCACATGCAATCCGTCGAAGTTTTCAATTTATTTACGCTATTTAACACAAAAACACCATTTAAGGTGTGTGCTTAATTTTATGGGGAAAATACTCTCCAAATGAGAAGTTGGTTGTAACTTATGATATATATATATATATATATTTATATATATAAATACTCGCTCATATTGACTATATTCCAATGGAGTTCATTAAATGAATAAGGCATTTATCAAATGTAGCTATGAATTCATAGTTGAACAAGTCTATCAATTTGATTGGTGAAAACTCTGAATTAAGGAACGCGATGGAAAGAAGATTGGCGCTCTTTTTCCTCGTTGTCCTATATTGAGGACATCCATCGGCGAATGAATAATTTTGCAAACTATTTCAGGATAAATAAAATATATTTGGTATATTTTTGTAGCTTCATGTGTTTCATGATATTGTTTTCGGCGCTTTAAAAACAACGCATTTAATTTCTAAACAGTGACAAACAAAATGTGTTAAACAATTTCTAGAAATAGTGACCGTGTTGTATAAGGTTAATGTAACTATCGTTAGTTTATTATCAAATTAATAATTATAAAATCTAAATAACTCGGAACAGAAAAAAAACCCATGATAAACAACAATCATTCGTTGTGGAAACTCAAATCATTATCAAAACGGAATAACAGTAAGCTTATTTATCTCGTGATATGCATGGAACTTTTAGTTTTTTAAGTTTATATTAAACCTTACAATGAAGATTACATACCTCGGCAAACTTTTTCCCTATACATGTATGAGGTCCAGCTGAGAAGGGTGTGGAGGCGTATTTACTAAACCTGAAAAAAACCCATGACTTTAACATAAAACGTCTTTTATGTCGAAGACCAATCTATGACTAAATGAAAAGGGAAAAGCCTCTATTTATTTTGCCTTCAATAGATAGAATCATTAACACAAGAGCGAACCATTTCTTACACACTGATTAATCTCTTGAAAACATAGTTCATCAAATATTTACTTCTCTGAGCTGTCGATGTGGAATCGTTCTGGCGAAAACTTTGTCGGATCTCTTACATTTTGCTCTGCCCTGGACGTCGCGTAGAAACTTACCTGTAAAACGAATGTTCACAGTACTCACACTGGTTTATTCTGTATATTAAGTACGGTTTGATTTTATTACTATACAAGTGGTTCAAAGGACAAAATGGATTATTTTAACTACATGTATTTTAAGGGGAAAACGTGAAGTGTTTAAACAAATTAAATAGCACTGTAGACTTGATAATTGTCAAAAAATAAATAATCATAATACATATATTTAAATGGAGCCTTTGTGATAGAAAGATGATTTTTCATTCGTTTCTTTTCTTTTTTAAGTTTGATTTAACTGCATCCGAACTTTAATTTTAATCTGGCGTAAACGTCCCTTTTGATAACTAATATGTGAAATAAAAACTCATTTGAAAGATTGTGTTATTTCACAGCACATAAAATTTATTTTTCTGTTTATCACATAACGTAGTGTAACGTTTATGGTTGTGCTGGTATAGCAATAGGACAAAGGGCGTTAACTCTTGCATTGCTTTGTTGTGTTCTAACAGTCTTTTGTGTTGAAGTTGAGGTTTGAGTAAATAAAAAACAGAAAAGCAGAAGATGACTTTTCAACACTTTAGCTAATTCCCCGAAACATATATCAATATATAAGATTTTAGATAAACTTGTACCATGTTATGCTTACCATCATGTCAGTTCCGGCGGGGATGAGGTGACCGCCAAGATTGTAGTCCTTGATTGTCTCGCGGAAGGTTCCCTTACCAACTGGATAAAGGCGGAGTGTTTCCTTCAATACCATATCCAGGTAGGGTAATTTCTCAATCTCATTCAGGCTGATCACTGACACTGCACCAACGTTCTCATCAATTTCTCTTTGTAGCCTTATAAGCAACACCAGGTTGCGAAAATGTCAATTAAGAGCGTGCATTCCCTGAATTGCAATGTTTTTGAATGTGTTGATGATTTTTAACAACATTGTTCTTGTTAACAAATGTTACCCTATAAAGTATAATGATATGAATAAAGATTACAAGATCTTACTTTTTATAACATTCCGGGTTTCGTCCGAGAAGATCAAGCATGAAACTCATGGTGTTGGCGGATGTTTCTTGTCCTGTTTGATATGAATAAAGTTATATTTTATTGAAAGAAAGCTTTGGGAAACTTCAACCGTCTTTTTATTCGTTTTGAATATAAAGAAAGTATATTCTATATATGATGGATAATCAATAAGGCCATAAAATGACACTTCAACAAAAACAATGCCTAGAAATTATCCTTATCATCTCAAGACACATGTTGCCAAAACTGTCAAAAAAAAAAATCTGACACTTGATTATATTTATATTTTAATTATGCACATTATCTTATTTACCTCCCAATATGAATGTTAACACATTGTCCAATAGTATATCGTCCGTCATTACAGAAGGGTACTTTTCTGAAACAATACACAGACATATAATATGATAATATATTATAGTATATATATATAATATCAATAGTAATTTATCTCATTGTTATTATTCATAAGATTATTTAGAAAATAACACACATATATTTTGCATTAATGGACAAATATATGGAACAAGGTAAATTATCAATTTACAACATAATGCACATATTGTAATGTTTCTGTTTTCTTTGTTTTTTTTTTAGTTTTTCCTCTCTTTTTTATTAAATTTTACTGCGATTTTAGATAGCTTTCATGGTATACTATAACAGCAGCTAGTTATCTAGTATCCTTTGAAAATCATAAAATCGTAGTTTTCATCCGTAGGCTTTTACCTGCAGCTGAAATTCAAACTAATTAAACAGAGAACTGATATGATTTGTTCTGCAATAAAACAGGTTCTGTATGCCTTCCCGTATTATAGTCAAATAAGCTGGATCGAACTGCTGGTCAGTCATATTGTGGTCTCGACAAGGTTGTCAAATATTTTGTTCGTGCTACAGGGATGTATTAAATAATGTACCATAGAGCTACATGTAGCACAAAATAACATAACATAAAGTCAAAGTTTGAAAAACGGAAAGGCAACAATGTGTCCTTCTGGAGCGTCTTTTTAAGTACAAGAATACTATATTTTACTAGTACCTTTTAGGTCCATTATGTACTCCAAAAGATCATGAGGGAAATAGTCGCCGTTTCTTTTTGCAACATTTCTATCGATCATCTCTTGTCTGGCGTTCCCTCTGACAAAATGTATTGCTTTCTGGACATCTCGGCGAAATCTCCATTTGAACGGATTCACCTTGGTAAAAATATTATATGGTTATTTATCGTGTAACTAACACTCGAAAATGTTTAGACATGTATACTGAGATCTCTGGAGACATCTTTTCTGACATTGTTAGCCGCACATCTCACCTCATATTTACTTTACTAAATTCAGGTAATATTATATATTGTATAAGAGTCAGTGTAAGCAGGATAGGTGTTTATTACCATTCAACTAAATCCACTGTAAATTGATTTTATCTTACAGTTGTATAGCCTGTTCAGAAAACAGGAACCTGTTTTACAACATTGGTACATTTGATAAAAACAAATCTAGAGTGTTTTGTATACATCATAAATGTTAAAAATGCATTTTATTCATGAAATAAACATTAAAATCAGCAGAGATCATAATATTTTGTCGTTCTTTGTAGTTTATTGATTTTTGCACTTACAGCTACCAACGGGTTTGACAGCTGAGCTGCAAATCCAGTTAAAGCTTTCTTCATTTTCGTCACAACAGGATGGTTTTCCCCATGTAATGATCCCATATCGATGTTGAACGCTACCTGCAATAAAGTGCAATAAATAGATCATTTGATAGTATAAATAAAAATAGATTACAAATTAAAAAGACTAAATACATGAAATTGGATGGAAATATGTTATCTTATGGCAATTAATGAAGAGTTATATATCATATACGCATTCACATATATATTTATGCAACAAAAAAGACATTATGGGGTTGCAGCGAACCATTTTTAATTTGTACTGTTTAAAAGACAAACATTGTTTGTGTAATATTACATACTTCGAAACAAACCTTGTTTCTGTAATACTTTCTACTTCCAAATAAACCTTGTTTCTGTAATACGTCCTACTACCAAAGAAACCTTTTTGTGTAATACTTCCTACTACCAAAGAAACCTTTTTGTGTAATATTTCCTACTCCCAAACAAACCTTGTTTGTGTAATACTTCCTACTCCCAAACAAACCATGTTTGTGTTATACTTCCTACTACCAAAGAACCTTGTTTGTGTAATACTTCCTACCTCGAAATAAACTTTGTTTGTGTAATACTTCCTACTTCGAAATAAACTTTGTTTGTGTAATACTTCCTACTCCCAAACACACCCTTTTTATGTAATACTTCCAATTTCTAAACACACCCTTTTTGTGTAATATTTTCTACATCCAAACACACCCTTTTTGTGTTATACGTCTTACTCCCAAACAAACCTTTTTTGTTCTATACGTCCTACTTCCAAACAAACATTGTTTGTGTAATACTTTCTACTTCCAAACAAACCCTTTTTGTGTAATATTTCCTACTTCCAAACACACCCTTTTTGTGTTATACGTCCTATTTCCAAACAAACCTCTTTGGGTAATACTTCCTACTTCAAACAAGTCTTGTTTGTGTAATACTTCCCAATTCCAAACAAACCTTGTTTTTCTATTACTTCCACCTTCCAAACAAACCTTGTTTGTGTAATATTTCCAAACAAACCTTGTACAACAGATGCATCGTTAGTTTGTTAAAGGAATGTAACGTGTGTATTTCCGTCTTGTTGTCCGCATAGGTTTCCAGATATTCTGTGAAACAATCGGCAAACTCGTTAAATTCAGATGCAAACTGTCGAATGAAGCTGAAAGAGATTAAACAAATAATACGTCATAAAGCATTACCAGGAAAACGTATATCGTTGGAAAAGACGTTATTTACACATATAGCAGCGAGCGAATATCAAAAAGGTAGTCACGATGGAACAAAAGTTCAAAATTTTGCGAAGTGAGGGACTAAGATTGGAAGGAGATGTAATACTAACATCAGCAGGAGACGTGGACATCAGGACAGACGTTCGACAGAAAATAAGTTTTCGAGCAGAAGTTGATTCTACACCATATTTTGTTGTGGTCCTGAAATTACAAGCATATCTAGATGGTAGAACTAACGGTACCAGGGGGAATGAGTAAAGAAGAGGAATATGAGAGGAGAAAAAAGAAGTACCAGGAAAAGATAGAAAAATGTCACGACAGATTTGGAGAGTGTTTTTCTGCGAGTAGAGAACAGATGCAGGAGTTTCCTTATTCAACTACTGTAGAGACTGTTTATGTTATTGGGCGTGGTAGGGAATAAAGGAAAGTGACTAGTGAGAGCAGTGAGCAGACATGGAGATTCTGTTTCTGGTTGTATGTGGATGAAAGGGAGGAGACTTGGGGATAGTGTCACTAGCAACAGTAAGCGTCACTCTCGAAATTGACTTAGCAGGAAGAGTATCCACTGATATCAATGCCGCAGGATGCTATTCCAGTACAGTAGCAGTAGCTAGTACTTGTTCCTGAATTAACATGATCAACCCGTCATCATGATTAACTCACGACCAACAAATCATCATATTCAACCAAGAAGCTGCATTAAGAGGGGTAGCGCCGAAACGTTTAATTAGGTAGGACTTACTGTATAATAATAGGGCTTACCATTATTGAAATATTCCGATGTATTCGAAGATACACTTGAGGTTGAGGTCAATCATATTGAATTGTGATTGATTTAATTTTATGTTGGTTGTCGCTAGTTGTCGCTATTAGATAGATACATGTTTTATTACCCTTGTTCGGCGTAAACATTTATATAACGACACTTTTACAATAATGAAATCAAAGCAAATTATCCAACATTGCCTTGAAACGAGAGTACATTAAAGAACAGCTCATTTCCAACTGCTTCAACTGGATAAACGTTGTAAATATTGCTTTGACATTTTGGTGCACCTGAACATCATCATTCGCCTATTAATAGGATATGATTAACTGTATAGTTTTGGCGGGGTATTTAATTTTGCTATATTCGCGATGATTTACACGGCAAGGTTGCCTAAAATTGAATCCCTGCTCATTAAACAACTACACAGTCATTAAAACATAAGGTAGTTTCAGACACTTGTGTGGTATTGATCTTAACGTCCTCTGTCCACGGTACAAAAACCGATATCAGTGGTAAATCTTTAACATTTGTTGTTCCGCAAAGGGCATACACCTTCTAGTTTATTTGTTTATACTTCCAGTCCAAGCGTTCTGTTAAATTAGATATCTCATTTTCCCCATCTGTCTTTCGATATTTTTAAATGTAAAATCAGTAGCTTACTTTGGCTTGAACCATTGGTCAAAGTGCATTCGCTGCAATATCCAGTGTTTGTTATCAATCTGTGATTCGAGTCCTTGGCCCAAAAACCTGAAGCGTCGAAATCAAAATTAGATAATTTGCGTCAGTAATATACCCCTGATAACCCTCTAACATGACACGATTTCTATACATATTTTACTGCATTCGGAAATACTGATTCTCGATCTAAAATGACCTCCAGTAAAACACAAGTTTATTTAACGTTTTGTATCTTGTCATTGCTACACAGTTGTTGATTATTTATAAGTATGTCGGAACGAATACACATTATTTTTTACAATATTATCTTTTCAACGATAGTATGAAGGCAAAAATAAATAACACCTTGCAAAATCTGTAAAAAAGTTAATTACCTTGCGCCAAATATGCTGCCTGTTCTGGAGTATATCCGTTTTGATTTCGGGTGATTTCCAGTAACCAGAACATCCTAAAATTACATCAAATTCTTGCTAGTATCAAACTATGCAGTCGCGTCTATCTGTGACGTACTTTATAGATTAAATTATCCCTTTTCTTTTGGATCTCATTTTAGGAAATGTTTCACCTCACACGCAAATATAAACATTTCAAAAAGTGTATATCAATGCAATTAAAAACAAACTGAATCTGTTAAGGCAAGTATTTGTTTTGTGCATCACAAAAGAATATAAATGGTTACATATAAAGAGTTTTACCTTTATGCAGTCTGGATCTAAAACAACAACAACAACCTGGTTCCACAAACAGAGCCGGAAAAAAAGCCCGTGGGTTTTGGAACTGGAAATGAATTTGCCATTTTCAGAATTATTGTTATCAGAACATTGCATAAATATAATCATTAATATCCTTGCCAAAGACACATTATAAATCCAATAGCATTATTGACAAACTCATCAATATTCTGCATAATGAACCTATCATGGTTTTTATACGACGATGTAAACAATATTCAAATACACAGGAACTATTTTTGTTTTAATTATCAGATATTATATTATATCATATCTTATGTCGTCCAGGAAGATAGACTAAATAACTACATATTAACAAATATACGTTTAAGCACTAAGGCAGTCATGAATTAAGACCTATCTTAATTTAATGTTTTAACACTTAATCTCATCGTAACGTATCATGTTTATACTGATAATATCTCCTACTCGTCCACCCTGAAATCACGAAACCAAACACCCCTACAACCGTATACTCACAGTCATCAATAAACATTTTTTTTTATATAAAACTCAAAGCAATCACATAAACTTGATAGGATATTTCGTATATATTATCTTTAATATGAATTAATCCCTCATGCTTAGTTCAGTTTTCGACATGATTACTCGGCTATGGGCTATTTCGCCGAAATGGTCTTATGCGAGTTACCTCCCTTCGTCTGGTGGTTATATGGAAGTCAAATGATTTGATTGGGGAATCTTTTGTATTGGAGGTAGAGATTATTATATTGAAAATACTCAAAGAGAGGTCGTCCATTGCTCACTAGATTAACCCGGCAATAGCTTAGTTTCACAGAATGTGCTTAGTTTTGGAAGTTTTAAAATGACATTTTTATATTGATACTTATACTTATATTGAAATATTCTGTTCGCAGTTTGCATTTAATTCTAGCTGTTACGTTGGCGAAGCGATAGCCATCATATGCAAAATAATAATATTATAATATCAAGTAATACATTTTACAATTAATTTTAATTTCTTGTGTTTGTCTTCTATTTGATAATGTAACATTATGTAAATTCATTATTAATTTACGTTCTGTTTCTGTAATGAGAATATCCCTTCAGATGATATAACATAACTCACGTTTCTAGGACATAGTCATCCATTATACCACCAGCAGCCATCACCTTTGCGATAGAAGGAATGTGTCCACTCCAGAAACTAAAAAAGACATACGCTATGTTTATATCTCACAACCGTCCCAAAATTGTGACCATGTTGCTTTCTTTGAAGAATTCTTTATTACCGGTAACAATATCATATTTTTTTTAAACCATTATTAAATAAAACAAAAAATTGTGCCATTTTTCCAGTTCGAAATATGCAATTCCACAACTATGTAGCAAGTTATGGAAAAGAACAAAAATGTGTAGCATTGGGTGACTACGCGGTATATAGTAATGAATTATGCTTAATATGTTGATAGATGTGCAATTCTATACAGTAAATTATTTCTGAACAGTAACATTAACTTTCGTAGATACCAAAGGACTCTCTCTCTCTCTCTCTCTCTCTCTCTCTCTCTCTCTCTCTCTCTCTCTCTCTCTCTCTCTCTCTCTCTCTCTCTCTCTCTCTCATTTTTACAAGAGGGGCGATTATTATCTATTTAACCTAAAAATGCTATAATACATCTGAAAACACAGTTGGGATGTCATCCGCTGTCTTTTTTTATTATACACATTAGTGTGTTAATGTATCACCTATGGCTGTACAATAAGTTACCTGTAGTTGTCCAAAACGTTGACATGACTGTCTTATAAGCGCGCAACTTATTGGAAATTTTTGACATCACCTTTTAGAGAACAGATGGGCGGAGCCAAATAGGGGTTATTCGGTGTTATAGGTTGAAAACAAATAATAACAAACACATGGATTTTTTTAAGTATAATATTTAATAAAAATATCGATTACCAGTAGTATACTATCCTTAGAATCAAACACATAAAAAATCAACACATTAAAAATTCAACAGCTTGAGTACTGCACCAGCGTTGTATATATCCGTGGAATTCAACTCATTCGAAATTCAACAGCTAGAGTACTGTACGAGCAGTGTTTTTATCCGTGGAATTCAACTCATGCATATTCAACATAATTCTAGCGAAATGTTTTTTTTCCCTTTCTAAAACTTACTTAAGCCCCTGCGCTTATCGTAAAGTTTTGCAGTATATTTTCCTCTTTCATTTTTATAATGTCACTCAAGACACCATTTTAAAAACTTGTTCCCCAAGCTTCCATAAATTGTGACTGAGTTATGGAAATAACCTCCTCAGTGTCAGAGGGAAATGCGCCATCTGTACACATAAGGACTCTACAGACTCCAAACTCACGCATGACGTTTGCATGAGTGTGACAAAAGGTTCACTAGGTAAGTTAAATGGGTTATGGTCACCAATAAAAAGTAGTTACCTGAATCAGCATTAGAGGCACACAGAGGGAACTATGTTTGAAGTTAGATATATGCCTCAAACTGTCCGATAGGTGAGAAAAAACAGCTGTCCTTTCTCTCACTTATTATACAGTTTGAGGTTTATATCCATAACATACCTTTTTAGTAATACTAGAAATAAAAAACACTTGATTTTATAAATTATGTATAAAAGCTGTCAGCTAAAAACTCCTTTTGTCTTCAAAACAAAGGGAAGAACGCATGAACAAAACAATGGATTAAAAGCATGAACTCACGAACGCTAAAAAAACATCAAAGACGAAATCAATTCCCCAAATGTGGCATCTTTGACGATGTATTACATCAAGTGTGGGAAACCATGTCGTTCACCAACGTACTTGTAAGATATAGGAACCAGGCCTCAATTTTATCAGACCCTTGAAACGAGACGCTTTGTATTATTAAGCATCAAAATAATTCATTAATTAAAAAAAATAAAGCTGTGTGTTATAATTACGATAGGAGACATTCAGTCCTCTTTGAAATACTTTCCTGTCCCTGGGAGGGCCAGGTATGTGATACTATGTTTGATGTTGTCCATGTATATGCCATGTTACAGAGATGAATATGCCATGTTACAGAAATGAATACGCCATGCTACAGAGATGTATATGCCATATTACAGAGATGTATATGCCATGTTACAGAGATGAATATGCCATGTTACAGAGATGAATATGCCATGCTACAGAGATGTATATGCCATGTTACAGAGATGTATATGCCATGTTACAGAGATGAAAATACAAAGAAACACAGCGACTACAATCCCGCAGGATTCCATCAAAAGAAGACTCATCCTTAACGCTTAAATCCGTGATGCAACTACGTACACAGTCAGAGAACAAACACAAAGACCGTAACAGTTAACAGTGACACACATAATATTCGGTTTTATCTACTGTTTATCTACGGAAGCGTATGAAGAACAGATGCATTCTATTTTTAATCGACTCGACATTTTGATAATAATACAGGATCAAAAATACATTGTGACATGTATGCTTTGACCCATTGACGAAAATTACATTATTTTTTTCAAATCACAGATGACCTCATCACATTTTATATTTTCGATACAATGTCACACCACATCAGGTTAAACGGACGCAGTTTTTCTCCGTCCGCCCTGAAGCAGCACTCAATGTTTTGTTATTATGCAAATTAAAATGAACAAAAAAAAACTATATTATTAATGTTGAAGGTAAACGATGTGCGGTGCGCGCGCGATTCGCGCGAGCATGAGTATACGTGCATGCGCCAAGGAAATGTGAGTCTAATAACTTTCATCGGGAATTGATATAGACAACATTTAGTAGTTTAACTGAGTCGTCCAGTTTAAAAATATATAGTAAAACACTAGAGTAAAATGATACATATGTAATGTTATAAAATAAATTGATCTAAATTTAAGGGTTGATTACCGAAGCAATTTATTTATACATTGAACATCAGGCTTTGAACAAACAGGGGACTTTTCATCCATTTTAAAGTCGAATGATAATATGGGCAAAGTCACCCGATTGATCAATCTTATTTTGTTGATTACTTTCTTTTGAAATGGAAATGTGGTCGAGCTTAACAAACCAGTTAAAAGCAGCACGGTTTTTCAAAAGTGTATCGTACAATTTGAATAGACATTCATAGATACTTGGGAACTATGACCAGGGGACCTTTACCTGACCTTTTAAATATAAATATGGATCCATTTCCCCTTTTAAAATGAAACTTTTAGCAATTAAGAACAAAGGACTTTTTTAAATAACATTGTTTATATAAAAACAAATAAAAAAATGGAAATGACCAAGCATTGACGGTCTTGGTGTTGTTTTAAATTCACGAATGTGCAGAACAATTGCATATAAAGTGTCAATCATGTTCTTGGCTGATCACAATGCTCTACATTCTTTAGCCGCACAGTAGTGTATCTCCTCTATCAGCTTCATTCGTGTTTTGTGCGATCAAACACATTAAAATTATTATTTGCGTTGTAAGTGAAAAAAAATGCTTTTGCTTCAAATGTTATCTATTTAATGCAGGGCACCACGTGAGACACTGAACTCTAGTACTCGTGTATCATTTGATATAAAAACAAATATATAAATAGCTTTGACCTATATTTATGACAGAGCATATATCCGCCACATTTAAAAATCCTTACCTGTCCCGGGGTGGCCCGGGTAGATGATCATACTTTTGATGTTGACGATGAAAATGCCAGACTACAGTAACGAGTATACAAAGACTCACAGCGACTACAATCCCTAAGAATTCCACAAAAAGCAGACTCATTTTCCAAGTGTTAATCCTTCATGTATGTTAACAGTAAGAGACACAACCACAAATAATCTCGAAGCTTTGACCCAGTTACGTAGCCTTCGCGATTGTTTAATACTTTTCTATTACGGAAGCGCCCACAGGCCAAACAAATCATATCCTGAATCGTCTCGACATTTCCAACATTTGACTGACTCGAAGAGATATTTTGACAAACGGAAATTTATCTCCCTCACTTGATTAAACGATACATTCCGAATTTCTTTGTATGTATGATTTTTGAGAATGAGATTTAGAGAGAGAACTAAAGCGACAATGACAAAAATAGAAACGACATGTAACGAATACAGGCAGTAGTTCGGGAAAAACATATGTTTAATCAAATGTCTTTACTTCAGTTCATTTGAGCAAGCTTGATCTGCGTTCTGGATGTTGTATATGTGATCTGCTTGTTTATGGGTATGTATTGCCAACGGCTCATTTATTCTGCCATACAACTTGTATGTTTGCAGCATATAAACATGTCCAACCTTCACCATTAAATACTCAATACAGTACCGGGATATTGACACAGCTTACCGGGATATTGACACAGCTTACTGGGATATTGACACAGCTTACCGGTATATTAACACAGATTACCGGGATATTGACACAGCTTACTGGGATATTGACACAGCTTACCGGTATATTGACACAGCTTACCGGGATATTGACACAGCTTACCGGTATATTAACACAGCTTACCGGGATATTGACACAGCTTACTAGGATTTTGACACAGCTTACCGGGATGTTGACACAGCTTATCGGGATATTGACACAGCTTACCGGGATATTGACACAGCTTACCGGGATATTGACACAGCTTGCTCGACGTTTTCTCATAAATTGTATTATTTATTTGTCGCCATCTCGTGAACGATGTTGTGTTCTCGTCGCTATTTTGATAACTCTATTTTGGTTTTGTCTCGGTATCTCGTGAATTATATTGCTTGCACTGATCAAATATATTTCTATCATTTGAATTCTAATATAAACGATAACTGGTTAACTGAACCCTTTTTATACACAAATAAAACAAGTCAAATCCGAGTGATTGAAATTCAATAAAAAGGTTATCGCTGTAAAAATCACGATAGACTATCATTTTTCCTTCATTTCTTTCCTGTGGATTATAATATAAATGTGAAGCATGTAATCTTTGAAATGCTTGGCTTGTAACAATCAGTCAATGTTAGCATCAGCTGGACATGATAGGAAAATTATGGGATTTATGTTATTTCTTATGATTTATATTGGAGAGAAAATAAAGGTGAACGGCTACAAGTTTCAAAATAGTCGATATATGATTACCATCGCCCAGTCAATGCAGTCCCGTGGATTGTTAATTTGTTTTAATGTTAGTAACTAGGGTTCAAAATTCAACTTAACACTTCAACATATATTAATTTAGCATTCATCTATATTATATTGTCGTCGATGAAGCATAAGACGCTTACCCTTCTGAAAAACCTGGTTTTATCCCCATGTACTGGTTCAAGAGTCTCTATGTAAATATTTTCTTTGTTCATATTTCTCCAAGTGCTATCCATTTTCAGTTCGAATCACTATTACGTTTCTTGTATTGATTAGTTTTAATTTATGGACGTTCGGGCAGTTGTTTTACAGATTACAGCAAAAGTATCGGATGTCATCGGTAATGATGCATCAGACGCTTAACCTTCTGAAACACCTTGTCTTATTTCCCATGTAGTGCTCCAGGAATCACTGTTACGTTTCCACTCGTTTATTGAATGTAAATGGGGCTTCGGTAGCTAAGTGGTGAAGGTGTCTGACATTCTACTATCACTAGCCCTCCAATACTGGGTCGCGGGTTCAAGGCCTAAGTGGGGCAGTCGCCAGGTACTGGCCTTAGGTCGGTGGTTTTTCTAAGGGAACTCCGGCTTTTCTCCGCCACCGAAACCTGACACGTCCTTTAATGACCATAGCTGTTAATAGGACGTAAAAATAGTATGTAGCGTTATAGATAACAACAATAACACGCAGACCCAAACCCTGATCGCGTTTCAGCATATATCTTACATTCACGTTTCAACAATGAAAGCTACGCCATTAACGTTTCTATTCTCACCCTAAAACCCGCACGGGTTGAGAGATAAAAAAAGCTATATTTTACAGCGTGCCTATGTAAATATATATCTACCTACGGTGTGTTTATTTAAGATCAAGGTAAGATCAAATAACATGTTTAAAACCGTTTGTAGGTCAGGGTAACCGTGCGACGCTATGCGTGCATGGTAAAGCATTTAATATCCATATAATACATGACTACTTAAATTTATATAGCTTTCCTACATGGTATAATTGTATCCGACCATATATTTTGCATTACTTCTTTACTACACACGTTATCAACAAAATTTCTCGAAAAAGGGAAATATTTCTCGAAAGGAACAAGGAAATATATGTATCCCATGCAGGATATGGATAATTTACCAGATGGTGTGGAATTTGGGCCAGAATCGAGGCTTTGCCACAATCAGACACTGATTGTTTTATACGCCTACAGAACATCCATATCCCACATACATACATATGATTTTGGAAATAAGGACATGGAAAGTACAAATGCAAGCCTCAATATAGCAATTGATTTAGATTACGTATATATAAACAAAGGCCACATTTGGAAAGAAAAATTACGTTATATTGTAGGTGAATCTCAAATGTGACGGTCCATGCAAGAACTTCAGGCAAGCTCGTTCAACAATTCATATGTGCTTGTGGAGGTGTCAATCGCCGACGGCAAGATTGCCATAGTCAGTCAAACGAGTAAGGTTTTACTCCACATACCTAAAATGTATGTATTAAACGTTTTGCAACGTTCCAAGACCAACTGGTCTCGTTGTCAAACTATATCTGAGAAGAGTCAACAGTGATACATACCTAAGTAATATATCTCTAATAATCATGTGTGTAAAGATATACTTATATTTATGAAATATTATTAATATGGCATTATAAATAGTGTTACTTATTTACGCACATACACATGTTTGTATACGACTGTCTATATTATTATTTATTTCACCTTTTAATTCATAATGAATGAATTTGAATAATAACACGAACTAGCTTAGTAATGCATTACCAGATATATTTTAATGGACCCTATAGAGGGCTATAATTAATTCTTCATAAATGTATTAAGTAAAATTACAAGATCTTGCATATCTTTAAATATTTATATTCCATCATGGATCCCATACCCTGAAATTTGTATTTATTTATGTCTATGTTAATTGAATGTTTAGTACTTTTTTGTTTGTGTGTGTTGCCATATATATATATATCCATAACTCTTGTGCATGTTTATGTACATTTGTCTTTGATACAAGAATAAAATGTTTAGATAATAAGATGTTAGTTCCCTTTCCTCGATATACTGTGTGTATGCATCGCTAATAATTGACCATGGCTAAAGGTTCTATACTAACATCCGTGAAGCATGGATACAGCATCGAGAACAGGAACTACTTCCAAAAGGTTCTCACATGGTACATTCTGTTATCATATACCTAGCATACTACCTTGTAATTAAAATGAACCTACTTAAAATATCTATGGATGTTCCTACCAACCCGGGTCCACTCTCTAATGTATATAATGATAAGTACCAATTTGGAAATATTTCATTGTGCAATTTAAACATCTGCTCCCTTAGAAATAAACTTGATATTGTGGAAAGTGAATGTCCCAATTTTGCTATAATATGCCTAACTGAAACTCACCTAAACGATAGTGTTTCTGATAGTGACCTATTATTAGAGAACCACAAACTCTTCAGAAAAGACAGGGCAAATCAAAGAGGAGGTGATGTTCTTACTTATATCAATAATAATATGTATGCCAAACGACGATCTGACTTAGAAGATGATGCTCTTGAATTATTATGGTTTGAATTGAAATTGAACGGCAAAATTATCCTTATTGGATGTCTATACCGACCACCAAACTCTTTGATACCATACTGGGATTTGCTTGATAATAACCTTAATAAGATTTCTAATCTAAACAAAGATTATATAATTGCAGGTGATATAAATCAGAATAGGTTTAGTCTTAACCCAAATTCCCAATTAAAACGTATTTTATAATTATATTGCATAACTTATGCTACAAATGAACCCCCACGAATAACTGAAACATCTGCTACAAGCATTGATGTTATATTATCCAATAACCAAAACATAATAAAAAAAGTTGAAGTAAATGCACCTTATTGCAGTGATCACTGTCCATGAAGTGCTGAAATTACATATAAAACCCTTAAATTTAATAAAAGAAGAGCTTTTCAAAAGACATTTTATAACTACAGTGATGCTGATTTTATTAATGCAAACACATTTATGTCTCAAGTTGATCTTAATGAACTTGCTAACCAAGATGTTAAATCTATAAACCAAACTATAAATCAAAAACTCACCCAATGCATTGATAAATATGTACCAACAAAAACAATTTTGATAAGACCAGATGATAAAAAATGGATGAACAATGAGATTCAATTGAAAATGAGACATCGTAACAGACAACATCATAAAACCAAACAAATTAATACTAACCAGACATGGACTTCGTTTAGACAACTCTGTAATAAAGTTATCTCCCTTATTAGGAAAGCAAAAAAAATATATCTAGATAAACTGCATAGTTCCCTAACTGACCAATCTTTATCACCTGGTAAGTGGTGGAAAATAGCCAAAACTATAAGTAATGGTGAAAACAAACAAAATGACAACTCACCAATTATTTTCAATAACAATATTAACATTCATCCACTCGACAGAATGTTTTAATGAATACTTCTCCTCCACTAACAAAACTGATGCTGATCTACCTGAAATCAATCCTAACTTTGTATCTGTGACACCTATACTTGGGAAAATACTAGAAAAAATCATCTGTCAAATTATAATATATTGTCAAAAAAAACAGTCTGGCTTCATTCCAAATGACTCTACAGTAAATCAACTACTATCATTATATCATACAATTGTATATCAACTA